ACTGGGATCAGCCCTAAACTTTGTCCAAACCCTGCAATAATCGTAAACACTAAACAAGGGTAGACATATTTCTAGTTTAACTGCCTGAAGATTTTCTCTATGGTTTATACGTAACTCTCCACCTATTATCTCATTTTTGTACATGTTCTGGGAGAACTCAACTTGCTCCCTATAAAATGCAACGTCTTCCTGCACAGGTGGTTCTGGTTAAGTGCCAGCCTGCTTCGGGTTTGTAATTAGTTGTTGCAATTTTCTGATTTCGTCGTCCTTTTTCATAATCCAGATTTCGTTTTGGCATTCCAGTTCAGCCATTTGATCCTGAAGCTCTTTTATAGTAGAATCATTATGGCATCGTATATCTGAGATTTTAAATGAGTGGTTGACCTCACGTTGGTTACTCTCGTCCATCAGACTCTTTACGTCATTTCTCAGTTTAGATTCAAGTTCTTTTAGGAAGCCAATTTCATCTTGCAGTTCAGCAATGTGTGACATCGTTACATCAGTTTGTGCAGCAGCACTTAAAGAATGTTGCATATCTTCGTACTCAGCGTCAAGCATAGCTTCTAAGTCTGCAACCTTCTTTTTTGACTCAATATTTTGAGCTTCAAGAGATGGTTTAGGGCTCTCTGATCTTCCTAGGTTCTTCAGTTGAGTACGCAGCATCTCTATTTCTGACTCGTATGTTTTTAGTCTTTTTATTATTTTTTTCCAGAAAATCGAGTCTGTATTGCAAGTCGATGAAATTCTTGCGCTTTTTGAGAATTTTTTTGAACTCTTTCTATTTCTTCGTTGTACGCATCCGTTACTTGGCGGAGTTCCTGACTGTAACGATCGAATTTAGAATTGGCTTCTGTGAGCTGTTTCTTCAGGTCCAAAATCTCCAGCTGATTATCTAGTTTAGTGAATTCTCTAAGCTCATTGAAAGATTCTTCCAGTTCTTTGAGTTGTCTTTTAAGTACACTTGCACGTCTTCAGCTATCACAGATTCTGCTTCGGCTAGTGCCTCCTCATATGTCTCTTCTTGAATAGGCCTCATTTCACGTCCGGATGATTCTTCTTTGGGTGGATAATTTTTCAATGGCATATACCCTAGGGATGCTTTTTTAGGTGATACGTTGCCATAGTGTCCAAAAGTATGACGTCTTAATGTTTTTTTCGGTGTTGATGCCGAGGCTCCCATTTGAAAGCGCCCGACAATAGATACTTCCGTTTTTAGTCTTTCTATCTCGAGCAGATACTCTTGTTTGCTTTTATCCATCTCTTTTAGCTTAATTGCCTGCTTTTTGAGCCGAGTTTCGAGATCGCGAGTCAAGTTCTGATATCCTTGAAGTGTCTCTTCTGTAGCTGACAAGATGTTTACTTTCGTTTTATTTTTGACAGTTTTAGTGCTTTGGGCGAATTCTGGTGTAGATCTAGTCTCCTCCTCTCTGCAGCTAAAGTAACATTCCCGATAATCAATGATTTGGCATTACCGCCAAGAGCCTGTGAGAGCAGTCTAGTCAATTTCGAATCGCGATAACTGATAAACTCCTTCCCCTCGCTTAGTTGCCTTATCACATTTCCTAATACTGACAAAGATTTGTTTATGTTAGCCCCCTCTTTAAGACGCTCACCAGCAGCTTTCGTCAGAGAAACTCTCTCAGAACCAGCTAAGTCCATTAAGTTAAGGTAGCTTATATGTACAGGTCCATCTTTCTGATTGGCATCTTTCGACTCCAGAATAATCCGGAAAATCGTGTGTGATCGAGATGACCTCTCATTCATGCGAGTAGCTGCAACTCGTCTGATCTTATTGCCCTGCATCATGTTCTCCATAACTTTATCAACATTGTCTACGACAGCTTCCCTTGCATCAAGCAGCACATTTCCTTTGATATCTTCTCTAGTTAAACCCTGATTGCTCTTATCCAGGAGGTCATTGATCTTTTCATTGTAGATTTCAATATAACTGCATCTAATCAAGTACCTCTTATCAACCTGGTCTGCCACATGCTGGAATAACTGATTGGATACTAATTGGAAAAGCCCAGGATCTGTTTTATTGCCCAAAATGGTGTGTGTTTTGCCAGAAGATGTTTGGCCATATGCAAATATTGTGGCATTGAAACCTTCCATGAAGGAATCGACTAAAGGTTTTACTACAGATCCATATACATCTGAATTTGTACATTCCTGATTAAATACATGGTCGAATATATAAACCTCTCCATGGCGACTACTTTCATCGGCTTCCCATATGCAGTTTACTCTTACGTTCCAAAGACGCTCTAGACCATCGGCTACTTCGCGGTGGATCATTGGTCTGATCTTTGTGGCTACTTTAATATTGTTGGAAGTCATTTTGGAAGCTTGAACTGAAATTTAATTAGAACTAGGGCTATTTCACGGGTTATAAAGAGGGGCAGATGTATCAGGTTGATACATTCTTTTTTTCCTCCTTTCCAGTATAGAAGATTTTTTTCTCTTGTAGGCTATGAATGCGGTCCGATAGTTTAGTAGAGCTACATTTACAGGGTGACTCAAAATCAAAGAAGAAACAGAATTGTTAAATTTCATATAGACTGTTATTGTTATTACAAAAAGAAGTTGAAGCAGCAGCAAATTCTCACAAATCTATAGATCCATCACTTTCAGCACCCGATTTTTCAACTTGAAAAATGCAGCTCGGTGAAGAATCACAAGGTAACTGTTGTCTATTCAGACAATACTCTTCTAAAAGCAACGCGAAGTTACCTAGTGCCTTACATGAATCGCCTTCATAATTCTTCATTATTGTCAATGGAAAACTGAAATTGTTGATTATTACAGTTTTTAATGCTTCAAATAAACAGATGGGTTCGTGTTGGAAATCCCACGTCTAATCTCGCAAAACAGGTTATCCACCGGATCTTACTATCAACATCTGAAATGCCATTACTGTTTTTAGCCATGTGTACAACAGGTTTGTACGCATAAACACTCTTACATGAAAACTGTTTATTGTCTAAAAACGAAAATACCCCATTGAAGATGAGTAATGCAATAAATATATTCGAAACTTGAACTGTAATATGAACATAAAAAAACTAACAAAATGGGCCATTTAACAACATATTTGGTGTTGATATTCTACAACAAAAACAAATACTTTCTCGTATAAGGAAACATACAATAATTAACATTTATCACTTTTCACGAAACAATGTAAGTGCGCTGTGACTTTACATACTTATTACAGATTGTAGAACATTTTTTTCATTGTGTATTGTCATGTAACACCTACGTCGTTTTTTTCTTTAACAACTGCATCAGGATCGAGAACTCTGGGCTGAGAAGTAGACGGCTTACTTTATTCGTCGTTGGTAATTTAGGATTCTTTGCATGGCTGAACGAAGCTCCCTAGGAAGTCTTGGATCTGATAAACGTCCTCTCATACGAAGTTAAATTAGAGTTTGCCTCAGGGGAACAATAAAATTTCGTCGCCTAATGGAACTTTCAGTCCCAGACTGAAAAAAAAGGAATTTACAGAAGCTGGTTGGATACCAATAGCACAAGGCCATCTTCTCGTTCTCTAACCAGTATTGTAATTTACACACTTCCGATCTAATGCATTACCCCCCGCCTTCATAGTGTTATAAAAATATATAGGATCTTATCAGGTTTCTTTGATTCCTCTACTATTTGTTATCATGCTGCATAGATTGCTATACGAGAACATGTGTATTTGGTTTTGGAAGATACTACTCTAAGGCTGTACAACAATAAACTTAGAAGTACCTGGCTGTGTTTCCTTCTTATTTGGAACTACATGTTGGGTACTTGTTACTTATTTTTACGCTTCCTGCCGACATAGGTCAGTTGGTTGATGCGCAATTCTACGTAATTCTACTGACGTGAACCAGTCATCTGCTGTGATATTTCTGTTCGTATAGACGAAAGCATTGAGCAGGTAGTGGTGAGTCTTTGCATCATCAGTCCATACTTATTCGGTTTAGTTTTCTTGTAGGCACAGGAAGGACATCGGCCCACGAGCATCTCGTATTTTGTAGGGGACTCACCCGAATTAACAATTTCGACAGTTCTCTATGAGTGTCTCGAAAATTTCACGTATTTGGAGAAATTTATCGCATTTCTCGAGCACAGGGTTATTATTTTCCAAATTGGTTGCCACTGACTTTAGTTCAGGTAAATGCGTTAAGAATATGTCGTCTGGA